GGGGGGGGGGCGGGGGGGGGGGGGGGGGGCGGTTCCAGCTTTTTGGGGATTTGTAGACGGCCCTCAGAATGGCTCTTAGGGTTTACAGGGTTTAGGGGGGTGGTGTAAGGTTGGCTTCGGTTTGTATCTGGAGAAGTATGTAAGTATGAGGGTGTTTAGATAGATATAGACCAGGGCATCCGGAGATGTGGGGTTTCTGAGGCTTAAGCTAAACCCTAAACCCTTAGAGCAAAACCGTGAGGTTTAAGCTTCCGGGGCTTGTTGATTCTATGGCTTCATGCCGGGTCGGGGAGGATCAAATGCCGGGCTTTCGGTAACACAATACCAAATATCTTGAGACCCAGAACCTCAAGCAAAAGCCTTCACGTCCTGAAGAACACTGATTTCTATGACTCCAATGGCCCCGACATGCAATGCCTTTTTTCTTTTTATAACACAAACAGGACGTGAAGGCCCACAGCCCTCAACCGTGTGCGAAAAGCCGTAAACAAATGACAAAGATGAAACCTCTAGCAGGCGCCAATGGTCTCCGGATACCATACAATCCTATCGCCCAATTAATCAGACCCCTTTGATTGACTCGGTTCTAGATCCCTGGTATCAGCTTCACCAACCCTATAAGTCCTGAGAAGGCCCGTATTCTAATCATGGCCCCAAGATGATGGAAAGTTGTTTAGGGTGTAGGGCTGATAGGGTTTCCCTTATTCCAGCCATGACATTCTCCTAAGTCCTTGAAAGCATCACGAAGATTAAACCCTAAACCCAAAATTTGTATCCAACAACCTACTGTGTTAGGGGTTGGGCCATATAATTAGAGGTCATAACCTACTATCTTGCAGGGTTTGGGGATACAGGTGAACCCTAAACCCCAAACCCTAAACCCTTAAGCCCTAAAACCCTTAAACCCCAAACCCTTAATCCTTATCCCTAAATACCCTTAAACCCTAAACCCTTAAACCCTAAACCCTCAAACTGATCTGAGGGCGTGGTCCATGGTTGGGGGGTACGATGCCGCTCAGCCGGCTGCTGAGCTGCTTCAGCAACCCCGATGCAGCTACGTGTCGGTTTGGGCTGCAGGGTTTAGGGTTTAGGATTTAGGGTTTAGGGTTCAGGGTTTAGGGTTTTGGGCTGCAGGGTTTAGGGTTTAGGATTTAGGTTTCAGGCGTTATTGGAGTTTGTCGTTGTTTGTTTTTGTGTGGTTTCTCTGTGTACATGCTTCACTGGCAGCGATTCGTTGTTTGTGTTCTGGTGTGTTTCACGGGTTTGCAGTTTAGGGTTCCAGGTTTTCAATGTGGGATTATATAGGTTTTATTGTTTTGAGTTAATGTGTTTTTTAGGTCAGGGTCAAGGGGTGCTTGGTTTTTGGCTTTGGGGTTCAGGCGTTAGGGCTGTAGGCTCAGGATGTCGGGGGGCGAGGGTCTTATGGTTTTGCACTCGTGGCCCACATCCTTGATCTAGGATATTTTCAGGTGGCTAGTTCCCGTTATAGGAGCCTTATAGAAGGTCTATACTCATAGAAGCCTTATAGAAGCCCTATATACCCTAAACTCCCCACCTCTAGTTTCCTTTATCTTCAACGCGGCTTTGACTGCCCTTGCCTGCATCTGGTGGGTGGGGTCAGGGCCTGGGTTTCCGTTTCGCTGGTTGTGCACACGGCTAATATAGGGGCCTGAATGGGAGGTGTTAGCCATCACAAGGTCTTGATCGTAAAGGCCTAAATGGAGTGCAGGCAAGCCGGCAGTGCCGTGGTGAGTTGGGGGGTTCTGTGTCGTGTCATATGTCCTTCAGGCCATAAGTCCAGTACTTTCACTTACCGCAGTCAGTAACCCCCGCAAAGCGCTGCATTCTATTGGGTTCAGCCCGTTGCGGCGCGACTGTTTATTCTAAACCGATGCTCTAAACTAAGCCTGAAACCCTCAAACCTGGCCCTTGAGGTACATGATGCGTGACATGCCGGATGGCACGCGCCAGCCGAGCATTATCTACAACGGCTTCCTAGGCTCCTGGTAGGGGTCGCCGAGTTTATTTGTGTCTAGTCTAGGCCTTTTGCAATGGGGTTTTGTGCAGGGTCTTTTTGGTGTTACATCGGAGGTCTTTAGCTTCTGAACATTCTACAAGAGGCATTTCTGATAGGCATCTGAATCTGACTCATGGGCAGGCACTTGGGACTGACTAAACATCTGCCATCAAGCAGATACTTCCCAAGAAATCTGGTTTAAGCCATGAGTGCGTTGCAGCGCGCACGGTAAAAGCAAGCTGCAAGCGAACAGTTTATTCCGCTGCTCGGCGCAAAGTCGTAGTCTCGAGGCGAAACAGAGACGAAGAGGCCCCTAAACTTTATCTAATATAGTGTCACACCCTTCCCCCTTCCCCTTGTAGGGTACGTAACCCAGCAAGTCTGGGGTCTGCAACCTCCAGGACTCGAAACCCGACTTGTAATGTTGCACCCCAAATGCTGAAATGCGCAAAGCCCCGTCGATGCGCTGCATCGCATAGCTACTCCAACAGACGAAGCTACGATGTGTACGAATAGGTACTACTATACGAAACCCATACCTACTACTATACGAAACCCATACCTACTACTATACGAAACCCATACCTACTACTATACGAAACCCATACCTGATTTTCGGCTGCTTTGGAACCTTGGATAATCGCTCAACAGGGGACGACTACCAGCCGTTGCCACTAGATGAAGCCAGCTGCCGAGCCTTGGCTTTGTAAAGGGGAGTTTCCGAAAGTAAGGGGTTCCTTATCTTGGGGTCCTTATATTAAGGATCCCATTATTTAGGGTACTATATTAGGGTCCCCTATTTTCGGAAACCCCCATATATGACCCGGGGGTCTGGTAAACCGTTAGTAACCCCTAAACTTAAACCCTAAACCCTTAGTAACTAAGGGTCTTGACATAGAATCGGGTTCCTTTCACGGGATCTGTAAGGGTTGCCAAAAGGGTTGCGATAATATGGGGGCCTTAAGAGCTAAAGTGGGATGTGCATGGTCCTTCGGTACAAATATACCAAGGAGCCCTTCGGAATAGCACTATGCTACTACTATAAGGGATGGTCTACTGCGTATACCCTAGCAAAATCGGGTCATCACCTGCTACCTGGAGGGTGTTACACTGCTCATGCTCATAACCTACTGTTTTGCAGGGCTTGGGATACAGGGCAGACTGCTGGAAACCGGTTATCACAGGGATTTCAGAGTATGTGAGTTAATCGCAGCCCTGGTAAGTTTAGTGTACATTCCGGTTAGGCGTTTAGGGTTTTGGGTTTAGGGATTCCTTACTGCAAGGGGTTTAGAGTTTGCTGTAAGGCCCTAAACGGTTCGTAATCGAACCTATATAGCCAAGCTCTTGACCTAAGGTGCTACTCTACGGGCTGTGCTGTTGGTCGAATGATGGCCCCTAAGCACCGAACCATATAAACCCTATAATATACCTTATAAACCCTATAAGCCCTTAACCCCAAGCCCTATAAACCCTAAACCCTAAGCCCTAAACCCTATACACCCTAAAGGCCCCAAGCCCTTTATTTGTCTGAGGATGGCTCCGGGCAGGAGGGATTCGCTTCGTGGCCTCCGGACATTTGCAGCAAGGATGCACAAGTCCGGGGTTTAGTGTGCGGGTTTTGGGGGTTCAGGGGTTTAGGGTTTAGGGTTTAGGGGTTTAGGGTTTAGGGGTTTAGGGTTTACGGGTTTAGGGTTTGGGGTTTTAGGGTTTTAGGCAGAGCTTTGGGTTCCCTTGGTAGGCTGGAGACAGGGTTGCAAAAGTTTGTGTTTGACAGGGCGGCGGTTGTGTCGGGTGCGGTAGACTTGTATAAAGGGGGTCGATGGTTTATTAACCCTAAACCCTAAACCCTAAACCCTAAACCCTGTTTATTAGGCTTAGTAGGTATCAGTTGGGGGATCAAAAGGGTCGCTAACGGCTTGTAAATTGTAAACATAACAAAAGAACTCAGAAATAAGGATTTTAGCGTTACGCCTTAAACCCTAAACCCTAAACACCCGAAGCCCTAAACCCTATAAGCCCTAATCATGGTGCTTGAAGGGAGCTACGATCGGGTTTGAGGTTTCGGGGCTGAAGACAAGTAGCTTGCGTCAAGACCCACGTATACCTCTACTGAACCGCATTATACTATTACCTCAAGATGAGGTCTTCAGGAGACTTGCTTTTGGAGGGGGAAGGTGCCAGGTCTTGTGGGAGTTTCCGGTTTATATCAAGGCGTGTCTGGGTTAGATTACAGCTCACTCTGCACGCCTGACGAACGGGAATCCTCCGATCAAGCCGGTCGCTTGCGAGATGTGCCTCGGCGGGCTAGAAACTGTTTTTGTGGGGTGTACTTACAGCTCGCCTGTTGCTGGTAATGCGTCTCCTGAACCCTATAGTCCTATCAAGATAGTCTTCGGTAGATCCAAACCCTGCAAGCCATGAAGCCGTGAAACCATGAACTCCAAATCGCCAAGTCCAAGGCCCAACGGCGATGCGCCGCTGGTGCTACGTTATGAGGCCGGTAAATTATCAGGATTGTTGGTTTTGTGGGTGTGCGGAGGGTTTAGGGCCTGCGTATGGGCAGGCTGACCAGTGGGTTCTTTTGATTTATAAGGCTTGGACCACGAAGTCGAAGGGGTTTTGAATTCTTCCAAAAGAGATTGCGGTATTCAGTGCCACGACGACGCCCACGCATGGCAATGAGATCCATAGTGCAGACGGAGGAGGTGTTGGTTCTGATGGTGATGGTGAAGGTGCTGCTTCTGATGATTTGACACTGGGGCTGATTGTCGAGATGCTGGGGATGATTTTGAAGATGAACTTGGTGGGTAGTATGCTGAGAATGGACGGCTGGTGATGATGATCATCATCATGATCATGATGATGCTACCACCGATTGAGAGACAGGAGTCAGACTGATGATTAGCAAGATGAGAATGCTGCTGCGGTTGCTGAAGCGCTTCCGCTCCTGATGATGATGATGATGATGGTGGTGGTAATGATGATGATTACCATAATGATGCTGACGATGAAAAACAGCCTGGCATAAGAGTACAGGCTCATCGAACCATGCATGTAGAACGATTCCAGAAAGTTTAAGGGAATTGTGTGAAGCCCGAACTGTCCCTATCTGAGCCCTTCCGCACATCTACGTATGTATATATATATATCCTAAATCTGACAACCGTGCCGTACAGGATGTCACCATCGTAAGTGCTGATATCTCCTATGCCGAGAGCGCACCTTGACTCGGTTCTTACAAGGCGACAAAAGTAAAAGCCCATATAAAGCCGTCCGGATGGCGGGTTAAGGTTTGGGTTTCTTCGGGCAGTTTATCCATTTACAATGGTTTCGTCCACATTCCATGCAGGTTTCAGGATTTTAGGATTAGGGGTCTAGGGTTTTGGGATTTAGGGTCCAGGATCTGGACGGTTGAGAGGCTTACAACGTTGGCTGATGGTTTCATAAGAGCTTCTGAAACGGTGTTGTTAGGGTTTCAGGGGGTCTTTAGCCCTAAACCCTAAACCCTAAACCCTAAACCCTAAACCCTAAACCCTAAACCCTAAACCCTAAACCCTACCTTCTTAGCAGGAACTCTTCAGTGCAAGTTCCCATACTCAGAAGCATATGGGAAACTGGGAAAGATTGTCCTGTTATCATGAATACTCGTATTCCCACTGCTTGCATGACTGATGCTTTTCGTGTTGTTCTGATGGTGATTACTGTCAGCATTGACCCTAAACCCTAAACCCTAAACCCTTAAACTTGGGATTCAATTCCCGAGCAGGGGCCCGGAGTTTGCACACTTTGCGGTTTGGGAGAGAGACTTTAGTGAGTAGGCCTCTGGACTGTAAACCTTAAACCCCTAAACCCTAAACCCTAAACCCTAAACCCTAAACCCTAAACCCTAAACCCTAAACCCTAAACCCTAAAACCCTTAACGCGTTTATAAAGAGGATCATGGATCATGGTTCTGAGCGTCCGGGCGAAGAGTGCAGGACTTCGGGGTTTCAGGGTTGATGGTTTAGGGTTTTTAGGGTTTGGGGTTTTTGGGTTTGGGGGTTTAGGGTTTTGGGTTTAGGGTTTTGGGGTTTAGAGTTTTAGGGTTTAGAGTTTTGGCTTTTGGGTTTAGGGGTTTAGGGTTTCAGTCTGTTTCCAAACCAAACAAGAGCTTCTTCATGTTCGGGGTCAGTTTAAGCAGGTCTGTATATATATATATACATACATATATATATATACATATACATATATATATATATACACACATATATATATATATAGATCTTACTATGTGTGTTATATGAGATATACCTGAGCCTTAGAACTTCTATTGAACAATCCGCAACCCTAAACCCTAAACCCTAATCTTCTGCAAGCTGCCAACTTAAACCTTCAACGGATTCGACCGCGAATGATATTTAGAGTTTATATTAGGGTTTAGGGTTTCGAGTTTAGGGGGGGCAACTTCTAAGAGTTATTACCCGGTACGCCCGATCCGTACACGCCAGCCCTCGAACCCTAAATGCAGGAACCCAGAATTCTCAAAGATCTCTCGCACCAACACTAGCCACCGCACGTTTAACAGAAACACTCGGACCTCTGAACCCTAAGCCCTAAGCCGCCAAACCCTAAACCTTAAACCCTAAACCCTAAACCCTAAACCTAAACCCTAAACCCTAAACCCTACACCCTAAACCCCCCTTAGCAGAATTGCTGAAGCGGACTACAGGTCAGCTACGAGGACGCGGAAAGCGACCGGCTACCGTCGGAAGAAGCCGTCTGTTACTGGGTTGCTGATGGTGTTTTGGCCTTGAGTTTAGGGTTTAGGGTTTCGGGTTTCGGGTTTAGGGTTTAGGGTTTAGGGTTTAGGGGTTCAGCGGTTTGGGGGTTTAGTTCGCGGTTCAGGGGTTCAGGGTTTGGGGATTTGGGATGTCTTAGGGTTTAGGGGTTCAGGACTGGTGATCTACAGGTTTTACATGGGAACTTGACTTAGCTCTGATGAGAGTTTCTTTCCTCCGGAGGCGCCTTGTTGTATGTACGTTCAAGCAAGTTGCATATGGTCATGATTAGGATTGATCGCGGTTTCTATGAAGTTTGGGTTGCCTAACTCATTGATTCTTATGGTAAGGATCCCAGCATTGAGGTGTTTTTTCAAGGGTTGCTCATGTATTGGACTCGCACATGACTGGGACTGGAATCGTTGGTGATCTTATTCCCTAGTTTGACTGCTTGGGCGTCTTATCGAGACTCCCAGAACCTTTGCAAGGTACAGGACTGTGCTACTAGAAAAGCAGGCTAGCAGTTGAATGGTTGGGTCTTAGGGCTTAGGGTTCCGGGATATTGGATTTGGGGTTTAGTGAGCGGGGGTTTGGGTTTAGGGATTTGGATTAGGGTTCAAGGATGAGTGGTTTCGGCTTAAGGATGCGGGATGAGCTTCGGGTTTAGGAGTTAGGTATTGGGGGCTAGGGTTTAGGGATCAGGATTTTGGATTAGGGTGCACGGTTAGGGCTATAAGGACTTAGGGCTCAGGAGATTATTCTTTTGGGGTCCGCTGCCCGATGAGGTGAAGTGCTTTTCTCTCCGACGGAGGAGCAGGACCTGAACGGTTGTTGAAAGCGAACTCTAAGGGTCCATGTACCCAACTCTGGCCCCAAAGCACCTATGTAGGGACCACTTTAAGGCCAAAGTATATACTATTTGGGTACATGGACCCTTCGGGGAACATGGTTGGAGTTACCATGACTCCCAGGTGCCTGAAGCCTACGGCGGAAGCCGCCCAAAGCTGCAAAGCCAGAACAATCCCTACGTCCAAGCTCCCTTTATGCCTAACTTCCTAAGATCGGAATCGCTGAAGCCCTGAAAGACCCCAACCCCTGCAGGTCCTGACCGGTAGCAGATGTGTGCAGACATTTTCCGAGGATACATATGTTGTCCTTTGTCTCGCTCGTTCGTCGTCGACAGGCTTTCGCCCACATCCTCCCAAAACCCTGTTCCCTAAACCCTAAACCCCTACACCCTAAACCGAATTATTCCCCTAAACCCTAAACCCTCTTCGAATCGACCCCCAAGTTCACTTCCTGCAATCCCAGACTTCAACCTGGAGGAGAGTCGCGTCCATGGCGTCCTCCGAAGTGGCTGCCGGCACTCTGCAAGACTCGGCTCCGTTGTCGAAGTCTTGATAGCTGCATGGGGTTTGGGGTCCAGGGATTTTCGGATTTAGGGTTTCGGATGTGTCGGATGCTTTTGAATCCTATAAGGGAAACAACTGAGAAGTCACTTGGAAGCACAACTACAAGACCCCTTCCTCTCTCTAGCTCTCGCTCATATTATATATAATAACAATAATTATATTTACTTGTCGGCATATACATATATGTATGTATATAGGCATACATGCAACATGTAAACACGTGTATAAATGCGCACCTGGATACGCACATAAACACACATACATACATTCAGTCATACAGACAGACAGACAGACAGACAGACAGACAGACAGACAGACAGACAGACAGACAGACAGACAGACAGACAGACAGACAGACATACCTACATACCTGCAAACATGCATACATAAGTACATACATACGTACATGTATACCTACCTACATAGCTGCATACCTATACCTGCATACATACCTACATATACATATATATATATATATACAGATACATACGTACATGCATACATACATACGTACATACATACACACATACACACACATACACACACACACACATACATAAAAAAACAAACAACCATACATACATACATACATACATACATACATACATACATACATCCATGCATGCATGCATGCATGCATGCATGCATGCATACATACATACATACATACATACATGCATGGATGCATGCATGCATACATACATACATGCATACATATACAAACACGGGCCTAAATACATATACTTACTTACTTGCGTACTTACTTGCTCGCATAATGTCTTATAGCATGGGTAGGCTGAATTATGTAGTGCCTACAACAGTACTGAGTGGTTGTCGCGGTGATGAAAGGGTCGAGGGCTGCAGGGTTCGTATTTGTGTTTATGGTTTTTGTGTTGGGTCTAGAGGTGCTGCGCTTTCTGTGCAGAGGGCTTCAAGGTGTGGCAGTGTCGCCGTTGGACACGCGTAGACCGTTTCAAGGCGATGCCATCTACGAAAAACGCCCTTGAATCGAAGCCCTAAAACCCTAAGCCGCTTTAAACATCTTCTGAGGGCTCACTTCTAGCAGCCTCTTCCCTTCTTGGATGGGAGGTACCTGTTTGACGGGATCTTAGAAACCTGACCTTGCTACCGAGACTCTGAAATAGTCAAAGCAACATTTTCGGGCTTCCAGGCGATGGCGCAGTGGGAAAGGTAGCTGCCGGAAACTGGCGTGTGGCCTCTCAGAGTCTTTTTTCGGTGCGCCCTGCGTTGGGCATGACAGTGCATGGCATCATTTCGTGAACCTATGTAGGGTTTAGGGTTTAGGGTTTAGGGTTTATGGTTTATGTATGAACACCACCTTCCTGTTGATGCAGGTATTTGAAAGGGCTGCCTTCTGGATGTTGATGGAGTTCAATGGAGTTCACAAACAAAACGGGTTTTTTGTCGAGATAGTAGCAGGGGTGGAGGTAGTGGCTTCTTGTTGTGGTCCTGAGCTTTCGGCAGTTCAAGCTCTAATTCGCTAAAGACTATGAAGTCGAAGGATTGAGCTTTCCGGGGGCTAGTGACTGCCCTCGAAACGATCACGATAGCAATGCGCAATCTGCTTAACTTCTGTGTACATGCAAGATGGCAGTTACCCTAAGCCCTAAACCCCTCAACGGTTCGCTGCATGCGCCAGTGGAGCCGACCATGATGATGAGTGCGGCAAGTGATGCTGACTCTGACGGCACTGACCGGGGATGCCGAAAATTCTGATGGGGGTTGTAATAATAACAGCCTGGATAGGGTGATGCTGCAGAACAGACTGAACCGGACCTGTGACATCGATGAGCTGTACCATGTCAAAGACATCAAAAGCACGATGAACAGGTCGATGCTGACATAGTCGGTGGCGATACCGGCCAAGATGGTACTTAACAAACAGGAAGCAACGTGGACTGGGTGGAGCCACTGATGACCGTAAATTTAGTGGTGATTCTGATGTTGCCGTTGATGATGCTGTTGGGTAACGATGGTGATCATGATGACTGTGAACCCAGGCCGGCAAAGATTGTTGCTGCGACTTTCTTGTCTTGCTGCAATCCGTCTTGCTACCACAGCCAGCAACTGCTCCTGCTGCGCTAAGCCCTTCGCCTAAGATCTTAAACCCAAAGCATGCTCTATGCCCCTAGAAACCCCAAAATTCCTCCCCCAAACCCTACACCCTAAACCCTAAACCTCGATGCCCGAAACCTTTTTCTACGCCTCCCACAGACTCCCAAGGTGTCAAGAGTCGGGTTGGAGAGTCCCTCGTCCTCTCCAGGCGCCTCGGTTGTATTTTGATCGAAGATTTCGGTGGACACATGGGTTTAAGCTTCAGGGTTTAGGGTTTAGGGTCTATAGGGTTCAGGGTTTAGGGTCTGTTTATACTTAGGGAGCCGTGAACCCTATACACCGTAAACCTTATAAGAGGTTTCGAAGACGCAGCAAAGAAGAGGGGGTAGCATCTGGTTAGTATGCAATTGCAATAGTTATGAATATGTCCATATGTACATCTTCATGCATGCAAGCATGCATGCACGGATGGATGGATGGATGAATGTACGCATGCATATATGTATGTGCGTAGTTCAAGTATGTATGCATGTATGTACATCTGTAC